TGGGGTGTGGGTGTGGGTGTGGGTGTGGGTGTGGGTGTGGGTGTGGGTGTGGGTGTGGGTGTGGGTGTGGGTGTGAGTGTGGGTGTGGGTGTGTGGGTGGGTGTGAATTAGAACGAATCGCCGTTCCACGACAACGCTGTTTCTGTCTTGGCGGGACTTCGTCAGGTGGATCACTTAATATTATATCTACTAGATAGTAATTCAGTTAAATGTATGAAACATAGGAATTACTTTTCGATATAATAATTAAATATTATGTTCATTTGCACAAGTAAAATTTTCAAATAGAATTAACTTTAAACTATAATCTTAGTCGACTATAGAATTGAATGTCTAGTTTTTTTAATTGAAATTTTTTGAAACTAATATGAAGGATATATGAACATATATGGTGCCGATTCGTTTGCTTTTGGGAAATGAACTGTGTTTGGTTCGTATTAGAACTTCAGGCTGCTGTGTTTCTTTTGCTTTTTATATGTGATATCGTTTTTTTTAGTTTCTATGGGGTCTGTTGTTCCTATATGGGAAGTTTTGTGTTTTCTGTATCGTTTTTCTGAATTCTGTATCGTAGGATGTTGTTGTTGTTTTCTATATGAGAGTTTTTGTCTTACCTTGTATGGTTGCATGTTCATCTATAGTTGGCCGTTTTTTTATGTAGATTTATGATGGGGGTTGTCGATTTCATATTATAGTAGTAGAGTTGGTTATTGTGTTTTGCTTTGGTTGAATTTGGTAGATCTTTCATTTGCTTGGTATGTTTTTTTGGTGGATTTTATGTTATAATTTTGTGTGGGTTTTCATTGTTTTTCTGTCGTATATATATAATAGTTATCTAAAATAGAAATGGAAATTTTCTTAAACTGATAATGATGAAAGTGTTGAGTAGTCTACATGGTTGCTCTTAATGTTCAGATATCTTTACTGATATCATATGTTTATGTACAAGAAATATAACAAAAGTATAACAATACTGTTTTAGTTTCATATTTTTACATTTGGTCATGTTGAGGTGGAATCGAGATTCCGGAATAGGTTCCTAGGTGGTTTCTTCTTGACTAGTAAGTCTTCTATCGTTTTGTTGATTCGAGTACCGAGGATGAGTCGAACATTATTAATTGATGATGTTGGGTAACAGAAATGTTTTTTCCAGATTTTTCGAAATTCTGAATTGAAAGTTTTTACTGGACCGCTTTCATATTGGTAATGTATAATGATGTCTGGTTGTTTTTTCGATGTGGTTGTTTGACATTGTTGGTTGGTTTGTGCATATTGTTGCTGTTGTTCTTCTGGTGGATTTGATCCTGTATGATGGGTTAATGATTCATTAAGTAGTTGTAGATGTAGTTTTTTATAGGTTTCTGCATGTAAATCTTGATAGATTGACGTAGCATTATGATTTTTAAAGAATTGTTTTAAATGACGTTTGATAAAATTTGGTGGATATCCATTTAAGAGTAGGGCTATTTCAATATTTAATCGTTCTTGGTCGAATGCTTCTACGTCTGAACAAAGACGAATACCTCGAAGTAATGCTGTATGGATTGTATTGGAATGAATATAACGTGGGTGATCCGACATATATGGTAAAATGTATGGTTCGGCAGCTGGTTTACGAAAAACTGATGTTTTTAATTGTCCTTGAATATTTTC